CTGACATCATCCACGGCAGCCTGACATCATCCACGGCAGCCTGACATCATCCACGGCAGCCTGACAAGATCATCCACGGCAGCCTGACATCATTAACGGCAGCCTGACATCATTAACGGCAGCCTGACATCATTAACGGCAGCCTGACAACATCATTAACGGCAGCCTGACAACATCATTAACGGCAGCCTGACAACATCATTAACGGCAGCCTGACAACATCATTAACGGCAGCCTGACAACATCATTAACGGCAGCCTGACAACATCATCAACGGCAGCCTGACAACATCATCAACGGCAGCCTGACAACATCATCCACGGCAGCCTGACATCATCATCCACGGCAGCCTGACAACATCATCCACGGCAGCCTGACAACATCATCCACGGCAGCCTGACAACATCATCCACGGCAGCCTGACAACATCATCCACGGCAGCCTGACAACATCATCCACGGCAGCCTGACAACATCATCCACGGCAGCCTGACAACATCATCCACGGCAGCCTGACAACATCATCCACGGCAGCCTGACAACATCATCCACGGCAGCCTGACAACATCATCCACGGCAGCCTGACAACATCATCCACGGCAGCCTGACAACATCATCAACGGCAGCCTGACAACATCATTAACGGCAGCCTGACAACATCATTAACGGCAGCCTGACAACATCATTAACGGCAGCCTGACAACATCATTAACGGCAGCCTGACAACATCATTAACGGCAGCCTGACAACATCATTAACGGCAGCCTGACATCATTAACGGCAGCCTGACATCATCCACGGCAGCCTGACATCATCCACGGCAGCCTGACATCATCCACGGCAGCCTGACATCATCCACGGCAGCCTGACATCATCCACGGCAGCCTGACATCGTTAACGGCAGCCTGACATCGTTAACGGCAGCCTGACATCGTTAACGGCAGCCTGACATCGTTAACGGCAGCCTGACATCGTTAACGGCAGCCTGACATCGTTAACGGCAGCCTGACATCGTTAACGGCAGCCTGACATCATTAACGGCAGCCTGACATCATTAACGGCAGCCTGACATCATTAACGGCAGCCTGACATCATTAACGGCAGCCTGACATCATTAACGGCAGCCTGACATCATTAACGGCAGCCTGACATCATTAACGGCAGCCTGACATCATTAACGGCAGCCTGACATCATTAACGGCAGCCTGACATCATTAACGGCAGCCTGACATCATTAACGGCAGCCTGACATCATTAACGGCAGCCTGACATCATTAACGGCAGCCTGACATCATTAACGGCAGCCTGACATCATTAACGGCAGCCTGACATCATTAACGGCAGCCTGACATCATTAACGGCAGCCTGACATCATTAACGGCAGCCTGACATCATTAACGGCAGCCTGACATCATTAACGGCAGCCTGACATCATTAACGGCAGCCTGACATCATTAACGGCAGCCTGACATCATTAACGGCAGCCTGACATCACCTGGTGATCCGGAACGGGAGTTTCTCCATCTTTCCCACAACCAACGCCTCAACACCTCCATACATCTTTCCTTAATCAGGGTGGCGGCTTTTTTGTTTTGTTTCCATTTATAAAACCGGTCACGGGCTTCATAACTCCACAACTCGAGGTGGTTGTAAACAACCCCCGTAGTGCCTCCCGGCTCATAGACTTTAATAAAGGCAAACACAGGCGCCGTGATTCAGTAAAGATGTACAGGTTTCGAAAGCAGTCTTTCCGACAGTCCCGGTGGCGGGGGGCGACAGTCCTGGTGGCGGGGGGGGGGGGGGGGCGACAGTCCCGGTGGCGGGGGGCGACAGTCCAGGTGGCGGGGGGCGACAGTCCCGGTGGCGGGGGGCGACAGTCCCGGTGGCGGGGGGCGACAGTCCCGGTGGTGGTGGCGGAGGGGCGACAGTCCCGGTGGCGGGGGGCGACAGTCCCGGTGGTGGTGGCGGAGGGGCGACAGTCCCGGTGGTGGCGGGGGGCGACAGTCCCGGTGGTGGCGGGGGGCGACAGTCCCGGTGGTGGCGGGGGGCGACAGTCCCGGTGGTGGCGGGGGGCGACAGTCCCGGTGGTGGCGGGGGGCGACAGTCCCGGTGGTGGCGGGGGGCGACAGTCCCGGTGGTGGCGGAGGGGCGACAGACCCGACGGCCGGGGCGCGACAGACCCGACGCCAACTCATTATAAATATAGTCATTTTACTGATATTCATTATCCATCATCACCGAGTATTGTGCTTCAATTAACTGTCATTTCTCCCCGAGAATATTTGATATTAATAACTGAAACACCGGACAAACGGCCAGCCACAGGTGTTTATGGGCCGTTGTCAAGGGCAACAATTACCTCCCAAAACAACTGAGCATCTAAATGAAAGATTAATTACTCGACGTTTGTGGCGCGAACATCCCGCCATCAGCCAATATTGTGGCGGCGGCACCGCTAGTCTTCACAAATATAACAATTGCATTTGCATTCCAATGGCGTAATGGAAATAAAATAATTATAGATATTGGCCGTTGGCATTCCCATCGACCAATCAGCACTCGTGTCCCATACCGCTTGGGCACCCACATTACAGGGAAAACTATTTAAAATAAAACAATAAAATAAATTAAAAATGTCGGAACTCATCAGAATCAACCGATATGAATTTGTCTTTTGTTTTGATTTAAAGATTAAGCTTCGCTCCAACGCCCGCGTCTCGGCACGAGAGAGATACGTACAGATACAGATAGATATAGATATGATTTCATTTTGTTACCAGTAGCACAGTAGTCTACGTCCTCGACTCGTAACTCGGGATCAATTCTCGACTAGAACGGAAGCCTCATGGCCTCTCCCAGGCACGGGTACGTATAGACCCTATCAGGGCACGACACGTACAGTCCCTCCATGGCACGACCAGACCCTCCCAGGCACGACCAGACCCTCCCAGGCACGAACAGACCCTCCCAGGAACGGGCACGACCAGACCCTCCCAGGCACGGGCACGACCAGACCCTCCCAGGCACGGGCACGATCAGACCCTCCCAGGCACGGGTACGTATAGACCCTATCAGGGCACGACACGTACAGTCCCTCCCAGGCACGACCAGACCCTCCCAGGCACGACCAGACCCTCCCAGGCACGAACAGACCCTCCCAGGAACGGGCACGACCAGACCCTCCCAGGCACGGGCACGACCAGACCCTCCCAGGCACGGGCACGACCAGACCCTCCCAGGCACGGGTACGTATAGACCTTATCAGGGCACGACACGTACAGTCCCTCCCAGGCACGACCAGACCCTCTCAGGCACGATCAGACCCTCCCAGGAACGAACAGACCCTCCCAGGAACGGGCACGACCAGACCCTCCCAGGCACGGGCACGACCAGACCCTCCCAGGCACGGGCACGACCAGACCCTCCCAGGCACGGGCACGACCAGACCCTCCCAGGCACGGGCACGACCAGACCCTCCCAGGCACGTACTCCCCCTCCCAGGCACGTACTCCCCCTCCCAGGCACGTACTCCCCCTCCCAGGCACGTACACTCCCTCCCAGGCACGTACACTCCCTCCCAGGCACGTACACTCCCTCCCAGGCACGTACACTCCCTCCCAGGCACGTACATCCCCTCCCAGGCACGGGCACGAACGGTCATTCCCAAGCACGACACGTACAGTCTCTCCCAGGCACGGCACGTACAGACCCTCCCAAGCACGTACAGTTCCTCCGAGGCACGGGCACGAACGGTCATTCCCAAGCACGACACGTACAGTCTCTCCCAGGCACGGCACGTACAGACCCTCCCAAGCACGTACAGTTCCTCCGAGGCACGGGCACGAACGGTCATTCCCAAGCACGACACGTACAGTCTCTCCCAGGCACGGCCCGTAGAGACCCTGCCAGGCCCAGCACCTCGTCCCTCCCATGTTACAGCACGTATAACCTCTCCCACAGTCGTCCGGCGCCTGTGGGAGCCTGGGAGGAAAAGAGCATAGCGGCTCCTGCCCCTTTACTCAGCGTGCTGGCAACTGCCAAGTCTCTGTCTGGACTTGTCCAGACCAAGTCCAAGGACCAAGTCCAACTGTACTGTCCAAACACCTCCCGTGTGCTCCCTCCTCTTGAGGTTATCTTGAGATGATTTCGGGGCTTTAGTGTCCCCGCGGCCCGGTCCTCGACCAGGCCTCCACCCCCAGGAAGTAGCCCGTGACAGCTGACTAACTCCCAGGTACCTATTTTACTGCTAGATAACAGGGGCATTCAGGGTGAAAGAAACTTTGCCCATTTGTTTCTGCCTCATGCGGGAATCGAACCCACGCCACAGAATTACGAGTCCTGCGCGCTATCCACCAGGCTACGACGAATACAAACTCCAGCTGAAAGACGAAAAACCCAGAAATACAAGGACAAACACAGACATGATTACCACATACAAGATTCTCAAGGGAATTTATAGTGTTTCACTCTATGCCCCTGTTACCTAGCAGTAAAATAGGTACCTGGGTGTTAGTCAGCTGTCACGGGCTGCTTCCTGGGGGTGGAGGCCTGGTTGAGGACCGGGCCGCGGGGACACTAAAAGCCCCGAAATCATCTCAAGAAGATAACCTCAAGATACACAGTTTATTTAACACAAGGGGAACACGCGCTAGGGGACACAGGTGTAAATTGAGTGCCCAAATGAGCCATAGAAATCATTTTTTTTCAGTGTCAGTAGTTAGATGGAATGCATTAGGAAGCGATGTTGTATTTAATTATTTTCTACCACAGACGTGGCCAGACATTTACAATGCTAACCAGCATATATACATTTTCTTCTGTCCTCCATGGACACTGGAGGCAGATTCCATGCACAGTTTTACGTGTAGATATGATAAGAGCCCAGTAGGCTCAGGAACCTGTACACCAGTTGATTGACGGTTGAGAGGCGGGACCAAAGAGCCAGAGCTCAACCCCCGCAAGCACAAGTAGGCGAGTACACACACACACAGAGCAAGATACCTGGTGGTACTGGTAGAGAAGGCAGTGGTAGTGGTGGTAGCAACAAGTGAGGGCGCTGGGCACTAGTGGAGCAACTGTTGAACCATGGCCCTGGGTGGTAGTGCCCGCCACACACACGCACACACGCACGCACGCACACTCTTGCAACAATTTAAATATGGCCGCGGACTATACACACACACACACACACACACACACACACACACACACACACACACACACACACACACACACACACACACACACACAGTACACTGGTTAAGGTCTCGCGTGACCAACCAGGCTGTGGTGGATATGCGGGCCGCACCAAGCAACAGCCTGTTGCACCAAGTTATCACAAGTAGAGCCTGACCTCAAGCCGGGCTCGGGTGGGTAGAACAACTCTCGAAAGCCTCTCCAGGTATGCTCCAGGTACAGAAATGTAAACTGCCTTGTATAGAGACTCGTGAACCTTTTCGTGAATCGCTTGTGATATAAATTAGACTATTGGTGTGTGTGTGTGTGTGTGTGTGTGTGTGTGTGTGTGTGTGTGTGTGTGTGTGTGTGTGTGTGTGTGTGTGTGTGTGTGTGTGTGTGTGTGTGCTGCTGTACCCGAGTGTGGTGTTGTAGGTTGTGGATACAGAGATGAGTGACCCTGGAGTACAGTCAGGGTGTTGTCTGGTATGCATGAGGCGGGGGGTGGGGGGGTGAAGGATACAAGACAGTACAAGTTGGGGAGGGGGGGGGGGGGAGAGGGGAGGGGGAGAGGGGAGGGGGAGAGGGGAGGGGGAGAGGGGAGGGGGGGGAGGGGGGGGGAGAGGGGAGGGGGAGAGGGGAGGGGGAGAGGGGAGGGGGAGAGGGGAGGGGGGGGGGGGGAGAGGGGAGGGGGAGGAGGAGGGGGAGGGGAGAGGGGGAGAGGGGGGAGAGGGGGGGAGAGGGAGAGAGAAGGGGGTCGTAGAGCCCATGTGAGGCAGCCTTGTTCTTCGCCAGACGCTCTGACTGTGTATCACACACACACACACACACACACACACACACACAAACGGCCTCGCGGCTCGGTGGATAGCGTTCGAGGGTCGCAATCCTAAGAACCCGGGTTCGATTTCCGGCCGAGGCAGAAACAAACGGACAGTTTTTCACTCTGAGGCTCCTGGACCCTAAAAGTTCACCTAAAAGTAAATAGGTACCTGCGAGTTAGACAGCTGCTACTGGCTACTGGCTAACAACCAGTAAAGAGCAGAGGTGCCATAGGCACAATCAGAGAACACTGTATAAACATCAGGGGTCCGCGGTTGTTCAACACCCTCCCAGTGAGCATCAGAAATATTGCCGGAACAACCGTGGACATCAAGAGAAAACTAGATGGTTTTCTTCGTTTTTTTTTTTTTTTATTATTATTTTCTACCACAGACGTGGCCACACATTTACAATGCTAACCAGCATATATACATTTTCTTCTGTCCTCCATGGACAGGGTTAGAGATGTGTTAAATATATAGTTCAAGGGTTTATTGAACAATTAACCACAGAAGGTGATTCGGTGCTTTTAAAATGGTAAGCTAACCTACATATGTAAATACATAGATTCTTCAAGGAGTGCCGGACCAACCGGGCTGTGGTGGGTATGTGGGCCTGCGGGCCGCTCCAAGCAACAGCCTGGTGGACCAAACTCTCGCAAGTCAAGCCTGGCCTCGGGCCGGGCTTGGGGAGTAGATGAACTCCCAGAACCCCATCAAGCAGGCAGGCTGCTTCCTCTGTCTGTCTGTCTGTGTGTGAGAGAGAGAGATAGACAGACAGACAGACAGACAGACAGACAGAGACAGACAGACAGACAGACAGACAGAGACAGACAGAGACAGACAGAGACAGACAGAGACAGACAGACAGACAGACAGACAGACAGACAGACAGACAGACAGACAGACAGACAGACAGACAGACAGACAGAGACAGACAGACAGACAGACAGACAGACAGACAGACAGACAGACAGACAGACAGACAGACAGACAGACAGAGACAGATTGGTTAGAAAGGTGGGATCCAAGAGCTAATAACTCGATTCTGCAGACTCAAATAGTAAATACACACACATTACACATATTATGAATTACATTATGAACATAAAAATTATTTTCTTTCCTGTAAACGAAATTCAAGGGTACACTTAAATAGTTTTCGAATTCCGTATTTCACATTTTAGACAATATTACACCATATTAACGTAACCAAACGTAATGAACCCTAACCTAGTCATGGATATAGAGTAGATCATAACACTAATTACGTAGTTGTTCTGAACTATTACCCCCTAAGCGAATCCCCCCCCCCCCCCCCGCAAGGCCAGTTTGCAGCAAAATGCTTCATGCCGAGCCAAACCAAGATTATAATAATTAAATAATAATTATAAACTATAATATTGTTATAGGATAACAATGCACAATACATTACGGCAAGATTAGATAGTTAATAGATATCGCCAGAATGAGAAAATCTGAGCTTGCCTAGTTAGTACTGTACTTCAGTCAGGTCTGTCGTAATCACTTCCCTATCTATATATATCCCTCTATCTATCTATCTATCTATCTATCTCTCTCTCTCTAACTCAACCCAAGATCCCATTTTCTAATCTTGAATCCATGTCAAAAGTACTAAGGCAGTGGATTTATAACTTTGCTAATATATAGCTTAAAAAAAGTAAATCATGTAATATCCTGTCCGAGTGCGTTCAATACGTCAGCCCCATCAAACGCACAACTTTTTTTTTCTGCCATATTTACGTTACTAGTTATAACGTTAATGTTAAGAAACGTTGATATGTTCCTCGAGAATGCACGTCACAGCTTCGTGTCGTCACTGTAGACCATACAACAACAGTCTGTTGGACCAAGTAGTCTCAAGTCTTCCCTGGCCTCGGGGAGCAGAACAACTCCAGAGACCCTCTCCAGGTAAGATCCAGCATCGAAAATTGAGTCTATACAAGATCTGGAAAAAAAACGACATATCAACGAATCTTTCCCGCGAGTAACGAACACTTGTCCAACGTTCAGTCAAGGGAAAAAATACAAATTATTAACGGCAGAAAAAATCATTGGATGGATAATAATGGCCTTGCAAGCCCAGATATACCGGGGGCAGCCACGGTGTTCTCCGAGGCACTGGAGAACACCGTGAACACTGTGTTCTCTGCAGCACAGGACTCCGTGCTCGCTCCCCCTTCAACGCTAGCCAAACATCTGAACTACAATATATATATATACACGAGGGCTTTAATATTTGATAGAATCGGCAAAGTATTCAAAATATCGGAGGGTAGGAGGCACTTCAAAGCACTACCTCTACTCTCCTCTCTACTCTACCTCTACTCTCTGAAACAGTCGAGAGATTTATTAATATATACATGGACATACCCGAGGAGCAGGCCTGCATATACGCCACAAAAAGCAAGAAATATAGTGTAGAATGGGGGGGAAATATATCGATACACAGCAGAGGAACTCAAGAGTATTGTTGAAACAATTTTTAAAATTTCGGGGCCGTTGGGGGAGGCTCTTTGGGGAGTCCTCCCCTCCCCGTGGGGGAGCTCTGCCCCCCCGTGGTGGTCAGTGAATGTGATTCGCTGACAAATAATTCCAGCCAGTCAACTATCCCCCAGGAAACACCTGCCTCAGGCCAGTACAACACTGGGAACATCTGTCAAATGTTTACACCACGGGTAAAGTGTTAGCAACTTGGCACACTATTGCTTTCTGTGGCAACACACACACACGCGCGTGCAACACTACTGAGTCCGGGAGGTTCAGGGGGAGGGGGGGGAGTGTTGGTAGCAAGGTGTTGCTGCTTCGTCCCTGTCAACACTGTCCCCCGAAGGTCACGGTTTGAACGGTACTTGTCTGATTCTCGTCCCGACACACACACAAACACACAAACGCACACAAACAAATACACACACAAATAGGTGAGTACACACACACACACACACACACAACACAACACACACACACACACACACACACACACACAACACACACACAACACACACAAAACACACACAACACACACACACAACACACACACAACACACACACACACACACACACACACACACAACACACACACACACACACAACACACACACACACAACACACACACAACACACACACACAAACACACACACACCAAAGAACTCCTCCACCGCCACTGTTGCAAGCGGAACAAAGTAGACTAAGAAAATGTCCAACCCAACATAGTACCCAATTATAAATGTAAATACTAGATCAACGAGAGAAATGATTCACGGCACTGAACCAACGATGAAAGGCGGAACTTAAGAGCCGCAGCTCGACTCTCCACGAGTCGTAAACTCGGATAGTGCAGCTAGGGGAGTACCCAGTGTGGCCAGCGAGAGAGTGGTACCCAGTCGAGTCTACACCTCCGTGTGGTAAGGTTGACCTTACAGTCTGCTGTACCCCCTCACAGGGATACAGCTACAGTGATAAGTGACATTCATAGTGACGGTTACAGTCAGTTATACACATACCGGGGTACAGACGCACGTGCTTACAGCGGTACAGTCTCACACACCCACAGTAACACATCGTTACAGCAGCAGAGATACAGCCTGGCTGATAGATTCAGCGGTGGAAATAGACAACTGTATTGTCTATTTCGCTCTTCAAGTGTTATGAAGTGGCAAAGTGTTGGTACTGGCGGTACACTTGAAATATAGTTATACAGCAGACTTTCCAGTACCTTGGTATACACAGTCCAGTACCCTGGTACACACAGTCCAGTACCTTGGTATACACAGTCCAGTACCCTGGTACACACAGTCCAGAGCCCAATAGACTCAGCAACCTGTACACCAGTTGAGAGGCGGGACCAAAGAGCCAGAGCTCAACCCCAGCAAACACAATTAGGCGAGTACAAACGGGGGGGGGGGGGGCTGACGGCTGAATGGACAACGATCTGTATTTTTAGTTCTAAGGGTCCGGGTTCGATCCCCGGCGGAGGCGGAAACAAATGGGCAGAGTTTCATTCACCACGATGCCCCCTGTTCACCTAGCAGTAAATTAGGTACCTGGGAGTTAGACAGCTGTCACGGGCTGCTTCCTGGGGGTGGAGGCCTGGTCGAGGACCGGGTCGCGGGGACACTAAAGCCCCGAAATCATCTCAAGATAACCTCAAGAAGATCCCTTAATTAAGTCAAACTACAGATGATCTTCAGGATGCAACCCACAACAGTACCCTGACTCCAGGGGTACCTATCTGCCTGCTAGGTGAACAGTCATATTAGGTGAAAGGAAACATGTCCCCCCCAGGATCCTCGAGTGAGAGTCGAGAACGAAGACCACTGTGCCACAGTCATGTACTGAAGAATGGGTTAGAGTCAGTAACGTTAATAACATGGGTTAAACAAGGTTACAGTGACTGTGACGCTGCCTTAGTGCTCCCTCTGTACCCCTACAGTGATGTAGTTGTGTACTTTAGAATTACATACATAAAAAATAGGACTTTTTGAAATTGGGAAATGGGGACCTTCCAATTGCGTGAAAGCGCCTTTATTTTAAAAATACATTATATGGCCGCAGCGTATTTTGACGGCGTGACTGAGGGGGACAATCAAAAGGCTTAACATAGGCCACACAGTTTTTAATTCTAATTTTATACGAGTGGCGTTGCAAAACACACAATAAAGCCATTGATATGACACAAATTGTGGGCGGCGTGTTGCGAAGCAAACATGGTGCAAGATCACACTCTTTGGCTGCAACCTTGGGGGCAAGGCCGCCCCCCCTCCCCCCCCCCAGTCTGGCGAGGGACTAAAATAGTCTACAGGGGCTGAGGTCACGCGCTGGCCCAGCAAAGATCCTTTACCGCTAGAAGCCACTCTACAAGACATTGGGACCGATTAAAAGTTCTAAATCTGCATTCTCTAGAGCGCAGGAGAGATACATAATCATCTACACGTGGAATTAAGAGGGACTGGTTCCAAATCTGAACACAGATTACATCACATGAGACCAGAAGGCATGGCAGGATGTGCAGAATACCCCCTGTTGCAGAGCAAAGGTGCAACAGGTACTCAGAGAGAACTATCAACATTAGAGGCCCGAGACTGTTCAACACGCTTCCACTACACATAAGGGACATAACTGGCCGACCCCTCACAGTGTTCAAGAGAGAACTATCAACATCAGAGGCCCGAGACTGCTCAACACGCTTCCACTACACATAATGGGCATAACTGGCCGACCCCTCACAGTGTTCAAGAGAGAACTATCAACATCAGAGGCCGAGACTGTTCAACACGCTTCCACTACACATAAGGGACATAACTGGCCGACCCCTCACAGTGTTCAAGAGAGAACTATCAACATCAGAGGCCCGAGACTGCTCAACACGCTTCCACTACACATAATGGGCATAACTGGCCGACCCCTCACAGTGTTCAAGAGAGAACTATCAACATCAGAGGCCGAGACTGTTCAACACGCTTCCACTACACATAAGGGGCATAACTGGCCGACCCCTCACAGTGTTCAAGAGAGAACTTGACAAACACCTCCATAGGATACCTGATCAACCAGGCTGTGATTCATACGTCAGGCTGCGAGCAGCCGCGTCCAACAGCCTGGTTGACCAGACGACCAACCGGTAGACCTGGTTGGAGACAGGGCCTCGGGGCCATTGATCCCCGGAGCCCCCAAAAGGTAGCCACAAGGTAGGAAGGTGGCCCACTCGCCCCCTGGTTTGCTGCCCCGTTGTCGCACCCGTTGCCTCAATATAATTCTTCTGACACTCAAATTCTTCGTCGAATCTGGCCTAAAATTTGTAGATAGAGACAACTTGCCCAACTTCTTAAGATTGCAACTTCGGCTCATTTGCATGTCTAGCTTCCAGTTGTGTCGTCTTGTCCTACTTTTTCTCAACTTGTCCCCCCCTTACGTATTCTCCTCAGTATCTTGAATGTTGTGATCATATCCCCTCTGTTCCCTCTTCTAGGGTTGTGAGACTTAGTTCCATTAGCCCTCTAAGGCTTTATGCTTCACAAGGTGAGGATTCCATGCCGGTGCTGCATATTCCAGTATTGGTCTAACAGATGGTATGTAGATTGTCTGGAAAATGTCCTGATTTAGGTTTCTAAATGATGTTCTTTTATTTGCCAGCGTCCCATATGCTGCCGATGTTATCGTGTTGGTGTGTACCGCCACAGTGTTAGGTGCTGTGATGCTATCCACTCCCAACACTTATTTTAGATTCGCTTAGTTGCCTTCACCCTTATGGTGAGGATGCCTCCTGATCTCATCTCTCTCTCTCTCTCTCTCTCTCTCTCTCTCTCTCTCTCTCTCTCTCTCTCTCTCTCTCTCTCTCTCTCTCTCTCTCTCTCTCTCTTTCGATCTCATCTTCACCTTACACTTGTTGGGATTGAATTCCAGCAACCATTTGCTGGATTTCTCATGGAGTTTACCAAGGTCCTCCTGTAGCTTCCTGCAGGTCTCTGTTTTACATTCCTCGTGAGCTTTATGTCATCTGCAAACATAGACATGTACGAACTCTCTTGGGGGGTAGATCATTCACATAAATTGGAAAACAGCAGCAGTTCCAGGGCTGAGCCTTGTGGGACCTTCCCAGTTTGAAACTTCCTCTGACTGTCTGACTGACTGTTTCGTGTCCTTGAGGTACTCCCTTACCCAGTTCAGTGTCACCCCCAGTTATCCCAGCCTGCTTCTCCATCTTGTAAACCAGTTTTATCCATGAGGAACAGTGCCAAATGCTCATTCATGTTGTTTAACATCGACAAATGCAAGACCTTGCATGTGGGCCATTGCAATCCCCCGCCACCACTACCTAATAACATTCCATTACAGCAGATTGACGAATAAAAAGACCTTCAGGTTATCTTGAGATGATTTCGGGGCTTTAGTGTACCTGCGGCCCGGTCCTCGACCAGGCCTCCACCCTCAGGAAGTAGCGCATGACAGCTGACTAACACCCAGGTACCTATTTTACTGCTAGGTAACAGGGGCATAGGGCGAAAGAAACTCTGCCCATTGTTTCTCGCCGGCGCCCGGAATCGAACCCGGGACCACAGGATCACAAGTCTAGTGTACTGTCCGCTCGGCTCACCTTGGAGTAAAAAAAATCCACCATTCACTGAAGGTTGCACACCATTAATGGTAGAAGCAGCTGTCAGAAAGCCAATGAAACCCTTGGAATAGTCAAGCGTTCATTTGACTAAGGAAAAGAAGGTAGTGACTCCACTCTGGTGCGCCCCCATTTGGATTATTGTATCCAAACATGGAGACCTCATCTTCAGGAGGACACAGCCGCTCTGGAGAAGGTGCAACACCGAGCAACAAAAATCATTCTAGTACCAAGTGATCTCTCGTATCAGGAACAGTTAAGGGCCTACTCTACACTACAATCCAGGCATGACAGGGCGGATCTCGTCGAAACTTTTAAATATTGAACAATTTGGAGGATGTTGATCCGGAATTTCTTCAAGAGATCAGATGTAACAAGGAGTATATAGTGAACACTATTTAGTAATTTCACTAGTAAATTAAGTATTAAAGTAAGTAATTAAGTATTTCACTAGTAAATAGTGAAAACTATTTACAATCTATACAACATTTGAGAGACAAGCGAGCTTAACAACTCACAATGTAGGACTGAGAACAGATACCTTTTCACCCACAGAGTTATTAACCCATGGAACCGCCTACCCGCCGACGCCATAAATGCTAAGACTGTTTAATTGTTGCCGCCGGAGGCGCCTAGTTTATCATACACCCCTGTGCACAACTCATCCTGTGAGCGGTAGCTCAAAAAAGTGGTACAAAATATCTTTCGCAGACCTCAATGGAGATTATGCCATTAACAATTTATTCTATCCTTCACATCTTATAATCTCAGCAAGTTAGAGAATTTTTTTTATTTTTCTATATTTTTCTATTTTTCTATTTTCTATTCAATTGCTATATATTTACACTTAATCATTATACATTAATGGCTGAGTTTATCGGTAATACATAATTGTTTCAGCTATGGAGATATTCCAGGTTGATAGGGATGTTGAAAATTTGAAAATCCAACTGGAAATTTGAACCGGGAGATAATTTCACTTTTCACTGTAGCCTCTGTTCAACCCAACAGTGAAATGGGGACATGGTTGTAAAAACGATTCTCACGGAACACAGGATTATGGACCTGCTTGAAACGCTACGCGTACTAGTGGCTGTACAAGAATGTAACAACTCTTTGTATATATAAATGAAAAAAATTTAAATTAGAGGACGCTGATTGGGTTGATCGCTTGTGCGTCTGGCAGCGTGCGACTGGCGGTGCAAATATCGTACTCGTGGCAACAACAAAAATAATAGATCTTTATTTCTCGTTTTCTTTTAATGGCACAGTTTTGAACAGTTGATTCCGGCACCCGGGTTACACAAGCGAATATTAGTTTTTTTCAGGAATATTTGTATTATTATAATGTGATGGTAAAACAGCATTATACACAACCTAATGAGGTCCTGTACCAGACATAATACGATCATATACCACATGATATACCATATAATATGAATTATACCAGTACTTTGTATAAATAAATGATAAATATATTCTTACAAATGAACCTGGTGGCCAGGGACGCCATGCCAGTCCCTAATTGTTAATGGAGGGATGGGCCCTCTGCCCCTGATCATTGTGGGGGAGGGGGGGAGGGCCCACCCCCCTACTCCAGGGCGAGGGGGGGCCTCACCCTCCTACTCCAGGGCGAGGGGGGGCCTCACCCTCCTACTCCAGGGCGAGGGGGGCCCACAACCCCTACTCCAGGGCGAGGGGGGCCCACCCCCCTACTCCAGGGCGAAGGAGGGGGGGTCACTCCTGACCAAGGGGCAAAAACACGTGTCCAAAAGGGGGGAAGATGGGGCAGGGGGTCCATGAAGCACCACGTGTCCTAACACCTTCACATTTACAGGACGCCATGTTGTCGTGGGGGTGGTGGAGGGGCGGCGGGCTGGTGGTGCTCCTGCTGGTGGTGGCCACAACTCCACAACACGCCCACGCTACGCCCACAATATCAGGTGAGTTAGAGAGAGGTTGTGGGCGGGGGCGGGATATGTAAGAGGGGGAGACGAGTGACGTTTGCGTATGTATTTATGTATGTAGGTTAGCATTGTGTATGATGTGTATGTATTTATATATGTAGGTTAGCATTTTAAAAGCACTACAATCACCTTGTCTGGTTGTTCAGTAAGTGACTGAACTATATGTCAGACAGATCTCTAGCCCTGTCTATAGGGGACAGAGACATATATATATATATATATATATATATATATATATATATATATATATATATATATATATATATATATATATATATATATATATGCTGGTTAGTATTGTATCTGTGGCCACGTCGGTGGTAGACGATAATAACAATGAATACACCCAACCTTCAACACCCTCCCCCCCCCTCACCACCACACCCTCCTCCTCACCACCACACCCTCCCCCCCCTCACCACCACACCCTCCTCCTCACCACCGTAGACAGGAATACTGTGACTACACCATCACCACCACCACCACCGTAGACAGGAATACTGTGACTACACCACCATAGACAGGTAAAGGGGCTAGAGAACAGGAAGAGTACGGAAGGTTACATAGCCATCAGAATACTACTTCCGCAAATGTTATTTTTCAGGTTGTTTAAGATTTAGCTACTGGGACCAAAACGTTCCAAGTAGCACGGGCTATGGGGAGCCCGTAGTGGACTTACCCGGCACAGGAACGGGGCAAGTAGCACGGGCTATGGTGAGCCCGTAGTGGACTTACCTGGCACAGGAACGGGGCAAGTAGCACGGGCTATGGGGAGCCCGTAGTGGACTTACCTGGCACAGGAGCGGGGCTGTAACTGATATGTATTTTTCAGGCGATAGTCAAGCATTAATACCTGGAGAAGGAGAGGTGGTGGAGGGCCAACATGTGGAGGGCCAACAGGTGGAGGGCGAGCAGGTTGAGGGCCAGCAGGTAGAGGGCGAGGCGGTGGAGGGCGAGCAGCAGCAGCAGGAAGGATTGTTCTCACGCTGGAAGCGCCTCAAGGACGAGTTGCTGGCCTTCAAGGGCCACCACCCCGAGGACGACCCCTCCGCCCATCAGAGACGCAGGAGGACACTCTTCCCAGTGAGTACCGGTAACAGTTAACACGTTCAAAATGCAACGTTTTAGCCCACATTCAAAGCACCGTTATATCGACGTTTCTTGAACACTGTCCTTCACAGGTTAGGCTTCTTGAGGTTATCTTGAGATGATTTCGGGGCTTTAGTGTCCCCGCGGCCCGGTCCTCGACCAGGCCTGCAGCCCGTGACAGCTGACTAATACCCAGGTACCTATTTACTGCTAGGTAACAGGGGCATAGAGTGAAAGATCCTCTGCCCATTGTTTCTCGCCGGCGCCTGGGATCGAACCCAGGACCACAGGATCACAAGTCCAGCGTGCTGTCCGCTCCCTGCGTGACGGGAGATGTCTCCCGTGAGGGCATACACGTTACTCCCTGAGCTATGTCGGTGGAGTAGAAATAGCCTAAGTTACTCTCTATCCCTTTGAGATGTATTTCTTTCTTGTCTCAATAAACATGAGCTATGTAGTCGTACTGGCTTAGCCGTGTCTCCCGGTATTTACTTTATCTCTTGGGCGTCGAGTGATGGATCCGAGCGTTCCTTCCCGAGCGTAACATCAATGTTAGTTATAAACCTAAGATATAAACCCACACTTGTGTATTTGTGAATTTTATATAAGGAATTTACACCAAGTGTGGGTTTTTATTTTGTGTTGTTAAGTCTGTGAGAAGACATTAGCCATTACTTATCAATGTCCTTGTCGTCCTCCTCTTGCTCCTGAGCTACGAGGGGGAGGGGGGGGGTGCTCTTGGGCGCCCGTACCTGGTGGAAAGGACACATCCAGGTCTTAGGTCGAGGTGTTGCAGGGAAAGAATCTATTAGTGAGGTCAGGGAAGGTGAAGTGAGGTGCGTCTCCTGGTCGCCAACACTGGATCTTAGCGGCGGCAAGGAAGCCCACAGAGCAAGAATGGAGTTCATTTGGTATGTTTTCCATGTGAACGCCTATGTCAAATGGGCCAATTTTGGCATAGCGAGGACGTGACTACCCCCGCGTTAAAACCTGATGACACAGACCTTGACAGCTGGTCTGTGGAAGACCATTGACCTTGACAGCTGGTCTGTGGAAGACCATTGACCTTGACAGCTGGTCTGTGGAAGACCATTGACCTTGACAGCTGGGGGTGGAAGAGAGCAGCTGTCGTTCTGACCTGCGGCTGCAACCCGGACGCCTTCACCAGGGTTCCCAGTGTCCAGCAGACAGTGGCGGGCTTCCAGTACTGAAAGCCTCGAGCGTCCTACTCAAGGCTCGGGGACTCCTAAAAGAGGCACTGACCCGTTGCTGGTTTGATGCGAAAAGATAACAATATCCGCTGTTGATTCCTTTACAGACTGTACCAAGGAGAGACAGTAGGATGGTGGGTTTCACGTCCCTCTCTGGCAGGCAGAGTCCCTGTTTAATGGGCAGTTTGTCGTCACTGCTATATGAACGAGGCATTGACCAGCACCTTTATTATCCAACAGTACCACTGTACAGCCCGGGAGAGGCATATTAAAACAAAAATCCACCTTATTAATATTTTCAGACCATTTAGCAAGTTATTATTTAAAGGCTGTGGGAATCTGATGAGACTGAAGTTCATTATTTAGTAGAAATGCTATAATTATTTATTATTATTTCCTATTATTGTGTCAATGGATTTGTGTGTGGTGGTGACCTTTGACCCCTGGGTTGACCTCGGCAGGCCGGATACAGCGGGTGCTCGTGCTCCGACCTGGCAGCCCTGGCCGCCCAGATCGCCATCTTCGAGGAGGACGTGAAGCAGGTGGCGGAGATGGAGAACAAGCTCACCCTCATAGCCACCTCCATCAAGCAACTGGGAGCTTGGGTCGACTCAGGTCAGATGAAAACCTTTCTTCCATCCATAAAAATGGTTGCAGCTTTGCCTTTGTTACCTTTGGCACGGTGTTTACACACACTCACAACCTGTTTACACTAACTGGTTCTGTACACCCTCCCCCCCCCCCCCTCTCTCTCTGCCCAACCACTTGGGCTGGACGGTAGAGCGACGGTCTCGCTTCATGTAGGCCGGCGTTCAATTCCCGACCGTCCAAGTGCTTGGGCGCTATTCCTTTCCCCCCGTCCCGTCCCATCCCATCCCAAATCTTAATCCTGACCCTTTCCCAGTGCTATATAGTCGTAATGGTTTGGCGTCTTCTGATAATTCCCTCTTCCCCGCCCCCCCCCCTCTATCTATCTCACTATCTCACCCTCTCTCTCTCTATCTCACCCACCCACCTCTCTCTTCTCTCTCTCTCTCTCTCTCTCTCTCTCTCTCACCCACCCTCTCTCTCTCTCTCTCTCACCACCACCCCCCTCCTCTCTCTCTCTCTCCACCCCCCCCCTCTCTCTCTCTCTCCTCTCTCACCCAACTCTCTCTCTCTCTCTCTCTCTCACACACCCTCTCTCTCTCTCTCTCTCTCACACACCCTCTCTCTCTCTCTCTCACACCACCCTCTCTCTCTCTCTCTCTCTCTCTCACCCACCCTCTCTCTCTCTCTCTCTCTCTCTCTCTCTCTCTCTCTCTCTCTCTCTCTCTCTCTCTCTCTCTCTCTCTCTCTCTCTCTCTCTCTCTCTCTCTCTCTCACCCACCCTCTCTCTCTCTCTCTCTCTCTCACCACCCTCTCTCTCTCTCTCTCTCTCTCTCTCTCTCTCTCACCCACCCTCTCTCACCCACCCTCTCTCACCCACCCTCACCCACCCTCTCTCACCCACCCTCTCTCACCCACCCTCTCTCACCCCCCCCTCTCTCACCCACCCTCTCTCACCCACCCTCTCTCTCTCTCTCCCTCCCTCCCCTTCCGTATTTCCCACTTCTCCTTTCATCTTTGCAGCCATCAATCAAATCAGTCTTCCTCCTCCACCTCCAGTTCTTCAGAGTTTTGAGAGTCTGAAGAGTTGTCCAAGTTTGAGAAGTTTATGAATGCTCGGGCGGTCTGGCGTTGAGGTCCCTCTCCTCACTCTCCCTAATGCTCTCTCACACAGACCCCCCCCCCCCCCACCAAATTGCCCACGCTACCCCCCACGCTCCCCCCTCAATGCCCACGCTCCCCCCTCAATGCCCACGCTCCCCCCCTCAATGCCCACGCTCCCCCTCATTGCCCACGCTCCCCCCTCATTGCCCACGCTCCCCCCCTCATTGCCCACGCTCCCCCCCTCATTGCCCACGCTCCCCCCTCAATCCCCACGCTCCCCCATTTGCAAGTTCAACTGAAATCGGCCGCTTGTGGGCCGTCGAAGACGTAGTCAATTATAGTAACAAGGGGCCAGATTCACGAAGCAGTTACGCAAGCTCTTACGAACGTGTTCATCTTTCCTCAATCTTTGACGGCTTCGGTTACATTTATTAAACAGTTTACAAGCATGAAAACTTGCCATTCAACTGTTGTTATTGTTATAAACAGCCTCCTGTGCTTCGGAGCTCATTAACTGTTTAATAATTGTAAACAAAGCCGCCAAAGATTGAGAAAAGATGTACAGGTTCGTAAGTGCTTGCGTAACTGCTTTGTGAATCTGGCCCAAAATTCGTCCCCCACCAGCCCCGGACCGCCCGAATAATGAAGAAAAACACAACTAGAGGCTAGAAAGGTGGGGCCCAAGAGCTAAAATAGTCACAAATAGGTCCATCGACATGCCCTAGCTTGCGCCTCCCCCACATATGGAACCTGTTTACATCTTTACTCAGTCACGGCGGCTTTGTTTACATCTTTACTCAGTCACGGCGGCTTTGTTTACATCTTTGCTCAGTCACGGCGGCTTTGTTTACATCTTTGCTCAGTCACGGCGGCTTTGTTTACATCTTTGCTCAGTCACGGCGGCTTTGTTTACATCTTTGCTCAGTCATAGCGGCTTTGTTTACATCTTTGCTCAGTCACGGCGGCTTTGTTTACATCTTTGCTCAGTCATAGCGGCTTTGTTTACATCTTTGCTCAGTCATGGCGGCTTTGTTTACATCTTTGCTCAGTCACGGCGGCTTTGTTTACATCTTTGCTCAGTCATGGCGGCTTTGTTTACATCTTTGCTCAGTCACGGCGGCTTTGTTTACATCTTTGCTCAGTTAGAGCGGCTTTGTTTACATCTTTGCTCAGTCATGGCGGCTTTGTTTACATCTTTGCTCAGTCATGGCGGCTTTGTTTGCAATTTCAGTTTATGAGCTTCGAAGCACTATGATGTGTTTATAATAACCTTGACTTTCGAAATGTTTCGAAACTCTTAGGCTTTCTAGTAAATATAAAGAGGTACAATAACGGAAAGATGTAAAGGTTTCGCAAGCGGCGGGGTAAATGGGTCTTGGCCCCCTCACAGGGGTTGTGACCCGTGAGTCGGAGCCTTGAGCATCTAGCAGGACCTTGTGTGTGTGTGTGTGTGTGTGTGTGTGTGTGTGTGTGAGTGAGTGAGTGAGTGTGTGTGTGTGTGTGTACGCACCTAATTGTACTTAGCTAATTGTGCTTGCGGGGGTTGAGCTTTGTCTTTTTTTTCACACCCCACACACACCCCAGGAAGCAGCCCGTGACAGCTGACTAACTCCCGGGTACCTATTTACTGCTAGATAGCGGGGGCATTCAGGGTGAAAGAAACTTTGCCCATTTGTTTCTGCCTCGTGCGGGAATCGAACCCACGCCACAGAATTACGAGTCCTGCGAGCTATCCACCAGGCTACGAGGCCCCTCAATGTGCGTGCGTGCGTGTGTGTGTGTGTGTGTGTGTAATTACCTAAGTGTAGTTACAGGATGAGAGCTACGCTCGTGGTGTCCCGTCTTCCCAGCACTCTTTGTCATATAACGCTTTGAAACTACTGACGGTCTTGGCCTCCACCACCTTCTCACTTAACTTGTTCCAACCGTCTACCACTCTGTTTGCGAAAGTGAATTTTCTTATATTTCTTCGGCATTTGTGTTTAGCTAGTTTAAATCTATGACCTCTTGTTCTTAAAGTGCCAGGTCTCGGGAACTCTTCCCTATCGATTTTATCAATTCCTGTTACTATTTTGTATGTAGTGATCATATCACCTTTTTATTGTCTTCTAGTTTTGGCATATTTAATGCCTCTAACCTCTCCTCGTAGCTCTTGCCCTTCAGTTCTGGGAGCCACTTAGTAGCATGTCTTTGCACCTTTTCCAGTTTGTTGATGTGCTTCTTAAGATATGGGCACCACACAACAGCTGCATATTCTAGCTTTGGCCTAACAAAAGTCATGAACAATTTCTTTAGTATATCGCCATCCATGTATTCAAATGCAATTCTGAAGTTAGAAAGCATAGCATAGGCTCCTTGCACAATATTCTTTATGTGGTCCTCAGGTGATAGTTTTCTATCTAGAACCACTCCTAGATCTCTTTCTTTATCAGAATTCTTTAAAGATTTCTCACATAAAATATAGGTTGTGTGGGGTCTATGTTCTCCTATTCCACATTCCATAACATGGCATTTATTAACATTAAATTCCATTTGCCAAGTGGTGCTCCATATACTTATTTTATCCAGGTCATCTTGAAGGGCATGACAATCATCTAAGTTTCTTATCCTTCCTATTATCTTAGCATCATCAGCAAACATGTTCATATAATTCTGATGTGTGTGTGTGTGTGTGTGTGTGTGTGTGTGTGTGTGTGTGTGTGTGTGTGTGTGTGTGTGTGTGTGTGTGTGTGTGTATGTGTGTGTGTGTGTATGTGTGTGTATGTGTGTGTATGTGTGTGTGTGTGTGTGTGTGTGTGTGTGTGTGTGTGTGTGTGTGTGTGTGTGTGTGTGTGTGTGTGTGTGTGTGTGTGTGGGGAACTGGACGTGTTCGTGTCTAAAGTAATTGTTTATTATTTGCCGGCATGGAAACTGACTGCTCATTTGTTTTTACAGGTGTGAAGGGCCCCACCGGGCCCGAGGGCCCCCCAGGGCACCCAGGGCTACCGGGGCCCCCCGGGGAGACGGGGGACGAGGGCAGCAGCACCTCCAGGAGCCGCCAGGGGGTCCCTGGACCCCCTGGCTACCCGGGACCCCCGGGACCGAGCGGTCCCAAGGGTGCCACAGGCGACTGTATCAAAGGCAACAAGGGTACAAGAGGCAGGAAGGGCGACCCTGGGTTGGAGATTCCAGGCAGGAGGGGGGCCCCCGGGCCCCCAGGAGTCAGGGGGGACCCCGCCCCGAATCTCGCCACCCTTGGTGATGAAGCGAAAACACAGTAACACCCGAAAAAATATTGCCTAGCACAACACAGCCTAACACGGCCTAACCTAACCTTGCGTAGCCTAGAATAATGTTATTGAGGGTTTTGACACTGAAGACGAACTTTGGGTGAAGAGAACTGGACGGGGGCCAACCACGCGCCGTCTCAAGGACGGGGGCCAACCACGCGCCGTCTCAAGGACGGGGGCCAACCACGCGCCGTCTCAAGGACGGGGGCCAACCACGCGCCGTCTCAAGGACGGGGGCCAACCACGCGCCGTCTCAAGGACGGGGGCCAACCACGCGCCGTCTCAAGGACGGGGGCCAACCACGCGCCGTCTCAAGGACGGGGGCCAACCACGCGCCGTCTCAAGGACGGGGGCCAACCACGCGCCGTCTCAAGGACGGGGGCCAACCACGCGCCGTCTCAAGGACGGGGGCCAACCACGCGCCGTCTCAAGGACGGGGGACAACCACGCGCCGTCTCAAGGACGGGGGACAACCACGCGCCGTCTCAAGGACGGGGGACAACCACGCGCCGTCTCAAGGACGGGGGACAACCACGCGCCGTCTCAAGGACGGGGGACAACCACGCGCCGTCTCAAGGACGGGGGACAACCACGCGCCGTCTCAAGGACGGGGGACAACCACGCGCCGTCTCAAGGACGGGGGACAACCACGCGCCGTCTCAAGGACGGGGGACAACCACGCGCCGTCTCAAGGACGGGGGCCAACCACGCGCCGTCTCAAGGACGGGGGCCAACCACGCGCCGTCTCAAGGACGGGGGCCAACCACGCGCCGTCTCAAGGACGGGGGCCAACCACGCGCCGTCTCAAGGACCTCCACCAATGAGCCTAACAGCAGCAGATCACCAGGATGATCACTATGTCTGGGTTAGGTTGGTTGAGCCCGGGGAGGCGTGCTTGAAGACGGCTCCAGACACACAATTTGGGCGGCCAAGCACACCCACCAATCACCGCCCATCATGTCCATACGCTCTTAGAGTACGCTAAATTAACGGCCACTCCCCCCCTACCCCCATCTGTGTATTCCCACGTATATATATACACTCAACGCTGAGGTTAACAAATACACTAGTGTCTTTGTTTTCCAGTTTAAACAACACGCCATCTTGGCTACACTCCCTCTCTCCCTCCCACCCCTCGGGCTTACTAGCCGCTGTAACCTTTCCAAAAGGCAACTTTCTGCCTCTCCACATCCCTCACAGAACCTTCCAAGTACCACCCAGGTATACAGTGCTTCTTGAGCTATACCCACCTCAGAACCTCCCCCAGCCACCATACAGACCTTCCTCCCCCTCCCCCCCTCCCTGGCAACTACAGACCTCCCTGAAACCATCCGCGGAAGAGCATCAGCATACCTATAGCATACTAGTTACTTTTAGTATCCCTGCTTGAGCAAATGCCAAAGGTTTTGCAGAACCTCTAAATTCTTCATTGAAACAGATTTTACTTCAATAAACCTTCGCAAAAATCTCTGCACATTTTTTTTCCGTCACCCCAAACCTTCCAGGAAGACCTCCTGGGCACCTCGGACCTTCCAGGAAGACCTCCCAGGCACCCCCAACCTTCCAGGAAGACGTCCCAGGCACCTCCAAACCTTCCAGGAAGACGTACCAGGCACCCCCAAACCTTCCAGGAAGACGTCCCAGGCACCTCGAACCTTCCAGGAAGACCTCCCAGGCACCCCCAACCTTCCAGGAAGACGTCCCAGGCACCTCCAAACCTTCCAGGAAGACGTCCCAGGCACCTCCAAACCTTCCAGGAAGACGTACCAGGCACCCCCAAACCTTCCAGGAAGACGTCCCAGGCACCCCCAAACCTTCCAGGAAGACGTCCCAGGCACCCCCAAACCTTCCAGGAAGACGTCCCAGGCACCCCCAAACCTTCCAGGAAGACGTCCCAGGCACCTCGAACCTTCCAGGAAGACGTCCCAGGCACCTCGAACCTTCCAGGAAGACGTCCCAGGCACCCCCAAACCTTTCAGGAAGACGTACCAGGCACCCCCAAACCTTCCAGGAAGACGTCCCAGGCGCCCCCAAACCTTCCAGGAAGACGTACCAGGCACCCCCAAACCTTCCAGGAAGACGTACCATGCACCCCAACCTTCCAGGAAGACGTACCATGCACCCCAACCTTCCAGGAAGACGTCCCAGGCACCACTCCAACCTTCCAGGAAGACGTCCCAGGCACCACTCCAACCTTCCAGGAAGACGTCCCAGGCACCCCCAAACCTTCCAGGAAGACGTACCAGGCACCCCCAAACCTTCCAGGAAGACGTACCAGGCACCCCAACCTTCCAGGAAGACGTACCAGGCACCCCAACCTTCCAGGAAGACGTACCAGGCACCCCAACCTTCCAGGAAGACGTACCAGGCACCCCAACCTTCCAGGAAGACGTACCAGGCACCCCAACCTTCCAGGAAGACTTCAACAACACTCCAGGGACCCACTCAGAACCACAAACCACAACAAAAACCACCTTCCAGCCACTGCAAACCTCCCAAAGCCAACTTTTCAGCGTATCTGGAAAAAAATAAAGAAAGCCTCGGGCTTTCCAGTATCTTTATTGACACAGCTAACTTTTTCTGGAAGGACTTTTCCTTCAGCATCACGGCCAACAATGCCAATGGTGCCACCGTTGCTTGTGTGGAAAGACAGATGCTTTTACCACCGTTGGTAACCTTTGACGTTTTGCGAGCTCAAACCTGCGGAACCTGAGGCTTCGTGAGCTCAACCCTGTGGAACCTGAGGCTTCGAGAGCTCAAACCTGTGGAACCTGAGGCTTCGTGAGCTCAAACCTGTGGAACCTGAGGCTTTGTGAGCCCAAACCTGTGGAACCTGAGGCTTCGTGTGCCCAAACCTGTGGAACCTGAGGCTTCGTGTGCCCAAACCTGTGGAACCTGATGCTTCGTGTGGCCAAACCTGTGGAACCTGAGGCTTTGTGTGCCCAAACCTGTGGAACCTGAGGCTTTGTGAGCCCAAACCTGTGGAACCTGATGCTTCGTGTGCCCAAACCTGTGGAACCTGAGGCTTTGTGAGCCCAAACCTGTGGAACCTGATGCTTCGTGTGCCCAAACCTGTAGAACCTGATGCTTAAGTTCTCCTTTCTTATCCAATTGTTTTCAAATTTTAGAACTTCTCTTTGTGAAATATACTGAGTTAAACTGTTAATAATGACTAAGTCTTGTTCATATCCCCATGGTGTCTAATGTTTACAGAATTTAAACCTCTTTCCTCGATACAATAGAGAGTGTGATAGTATAATTAGTTTATTATGGCGTCTATAATCACATGAACGGTGCCGGAAAAAGCTACAGAGGCATATAATGGGTTCAGAAACCGAACTCCAATGCTCTACAAGCCAAGTAAATTATATTGCTGGCATTATCATCATTTCAGTTTGCCTGGAATATGCGAGTTTCCAGAGTGGTGAGAATTGCAGTACTGTAGCTAAGTTTACGACAGGTGTCCTAAGTCGCTTGCAAGCAGTGCAAGCTTGCAGTGTAAACCACAATATGTAAAGTTGGGATACCTTAGCTAGGGTTTCCGGGTACTCCCACCCATGATAAAATACTTGGACATTTTTTATTTTATATATATATATATATATATATATATATATATATACAAGAGTTGTTACATTCTTGACCATTAGTTCGAGTCTCTAATCTCTCGGGCTTATTAACATGTCATTAGAGTGACAGAACGTAACGAGAGAGTTCTGCTGGCCAAGTTTACATATGGTCAGAGCCCCTTGGGGGTCAGAGCCCCTTGGGGGTCAGAGCCCCTTGGGGGTCAGAGCCCCTTGGGGGTCAGAGCCCCTTGGGGGGCAGAGCCCCTTGGGGGTCAGAGCCCCTTGGGGGTCAGAGCCCCTTGGGGGTCAGAGCCCCTTGGGAGGAGACGGTGCACTCTCCAAGAGGTACTTGTGGCAGAGGCTAACCCCAACAATATACTACGGGATCACCATAGCCTGTGCTACTTGGAACTTTTTGTTCCAGGTAGCAAATGTACAACAACCCAACAATAGTAATATGTACCTACAAGTCTGCTAACCTTATTGGATGACCTGCAGAGATATGTAGGTCTTCCTGCACACAGTTATTTGACGATAGATGTGACTGGTGTAGATTAATCACTCAGATCTAGTCAATTTTGTTGCAGTTGCAGGCGATGAATCACAATAACGTGGCTAAAGTAAGTTGACCAGACCACACACACTAGAAGGTGAAGGGACGACGACGTTTCGGTCCGTCCTGGACCATTCTCAAGTCGATTGTCAAGACATTCTCAAGACAACCAACTTGGAGAATGGTCCAGGACGGACCGAAACGTCGTCGTCCCTTCACCTTCTAGTGTGTGGTCTGGTCAACTTGTAGCAGTTCTCTCATATTACCGCCTTCCGGGCTCCTCAAATACAATCCAAAGTGACGACCTACGAATACATGCTCTTAGAGGGAGTAGATTAAGATGGGATGGGAACCTTTGGATTCCATTGACGCCAATTACATCATTGTTGATTTTCCTACATGTGTCCACGCTCCAGACACGAGCACGACCTTACAGCTGTCTTGAGGAGTCGAGTGCAGTCAGGGACGACAGTCGCAAAGTGTCAAACTGTGGATACTGGTTCGAGTGCAAGGAGTACGGGGAACAATTGTCTCTGAAGAGTGGCTATCTTGAGGTTATCTTGAAATGATTTCGGGGCTTTTTAGTGTCCCCGCGGCCCGGTCCTCGACCAGGCCTCCACCCCCAGGAAGCAGCCCGTGACAGCTGACTAACACCCAGGTACCTATTTTACTGCTAGGTAACAGGGGCATAGGGTGAAAGAAACTCTGCCCATTGTTTCTCGCCGGCGCTTGGGATCGAACCCAGGACCACAGGATCACAAGTCCAGCGTGCTGTCCGCTCGGCCGACCGGCTCCCTACCGGGGTGCTCACTAATCTACCCGTCAACGGTAGCAACAATAACAAGAAGCAAGGTAATTGCATCCATAAGAAAAAAAATAACAAAGGAAACTGAGCCTATCAGCTTCTGTGAGAGAGTTATTATCCGCTTATCGGGTACTTCTCCACAATGGTATATTGCAAGCACAAATTGCATAATGGGACTAATCTATAAAATTATGTTCATGCGTTTGTAGATTAGACTTTTGTATATTTCGTTCCTGTGATCATGAATGGTTAAAATAATTGTCCATTCAATATTTTCATTACTGTGCCTTGTTAGTGATGAGAGATGTCTCACCTGTGGCCACCTGACACACAGGTACTGACAGCTGTGGTTAGTGATGAGAGATGTCTCACCTGTGGCTCCCTGACACACAGGTGTTGACAGCTGTGGTCAGGTATGAGAGATGTCTCACCTGTGGCTCCCCTAACACACAGGTACCGACAGCTGTGGTCAGGTATGAGAGATGTCTCACCTGTGGCTCCCCTGACACACAGGTACTGACAGCTGTGGTCAGGTATGAGAGATGTCTCACCTGTGGCTCCCCTAACACACAGGTACCGACAGCTGTGGTCAGGTATGAGAGATGTCTCACCTGTGGCTCCCCTGACACACAGGTACTGACAGCTGTGGTCAGGTATGAGAGATGTCTCACCTGTGGCTCCCCTAACACACAGGTACCGACAGCTGTGGTCAGGTATGAGAGATGTCTCACCTGTGGCTCCCCTGACACACAGGTACCGACAGCTGTGGTCAGGTATGAGAGATGTCTCACCTGTGGCTCCCCTAACACACAGGTACCGACAGCTGTGGTCAGGTATGAGAGATGTCTCACCTGTGGCTCCCCTGACACACAGGTACTAACAGCTGTGGTCAGTGATGAGAGATGTCTCACCTGTGGCTCTCCTGACACACAGGTACTGACAGCTGTGGTCAGGGATGAGAGATGTCTCACCTGTGGCCACCTGACACACAGGTACTGACAGCTGTGGTCAGTAATGAGAGATGTCTCACCTGTGGCCACCTGACACAGGTATTGGCAGTAAACCCGATCCTAATTATCGCACCACAACATTATCTGGCGAAATATTGATATTATTCGTGTCTGTGTATTTCAGATCCCAATGATTAACTCCAAATTCTAATGCCTCGTGGCTAACCATGAAATAACTTCCGTTGTCGGGGACAGGAAGCCTGTGTATATGCCTACTTTAGGTTTATATGGAGGTGTGTGTGGTATATCATCTTAGGATATACAGCCTCCTGTCTTACAATGTGGGTATAGGTACATATGGCAATTATATTAAATTGAAGCGCTCTTAAATAAGGCTACTGGAGTCGGTCAATACAATTAGTAAATAGGAAATAAGGCAAGACAATCTACACCAATCTACTACATTTGGACTGGACGGTAGAGCGACGGTTTCGTGTCATGCTGGCCGGCGTTCAATCCCCGACCGTCCACAAGTGGTTGGGCACCATTTCTCCCCCCCCCCCCCCCCCCGCACCTCCCCGTTCCATCTCGAATCCTTATTCTGATGCACTTTCCCCCGATAATGCCCTTCCCTCCTGCATACCGTACAAGGTCAGCTAGTTACAGAGTAACTATGTATTTACTATACATAGTAAAGTAATAGGTACTGAAATGGAAATACATAGTTACTCTATGTATTTACAGTTAATATTTTTTTTTCACTTTTCGTGGAAAACAATCTACTTGTCTCAATATTTTTCAAGAGTGGACCAAAACCTTGAAGACTTCTTGGCCAAAGAAGTGGAAAGCACCAGGGACCAGATTCACCAAGCACTTACGCAAGTACTTACGAACCTGTACATCTTTCCTCAATCTTTGACGGCTTTGTTTACAATTATTAAACGGTTAATGAGCTCCGAAGCACCAGGAGGCTGTTTATAACAATAACAACAGTTGATTGGCAAATTTTCATGCTTGTAAACTGTTTAATAAATGTAACCAAAGCCGTTAAAGATTGAGGAAAGATGTACACGTTCGTAAGTACTTGCGTAAGTGCTTTCGTGAATCTGGTCCAAGGTCTCCGGCTTAATCACACTTACTGCTAAGTGTAATTAAGTTCTTACCATTCACTTTTACTAACGGCTATTTGAATAATTTAACATTACCACAAGAGTAACAAGTTATACTATCTGTAAGTCTATTTAATTTGATGACTGACCATTGCTAAAACTCGAGTGTATTAACATACGAGTGAACTATTATTAAAACCCTACAGGCACTATTGACCATTAATTCACCTACGGAAAGATTATCTCTATAGGTGAATCACTATCTTCATCCCATCTAAGACAAGTTTGTTTTAGATTCAGCTACTTAGAACAAAAGTTCCAAAGTAGCACGGGCTATGGCGAGCCCGTAGTGGACTTACCTGGCACAGGAGCGGGGCTGTGAAAAGTTTGTCGTACACACAATCCAACCCAATATTACCGTGGCGGACACACACATCTACTTATATTTTTCCCCTATCTTAGAAAGGGATTAAGATGTATATCCAGATTTAAGTTAATACTCAAGTTTAGTATTGGAGGATGCGACGTGTTGGATTATTTTCTTAA